ACACACTAATAATTTGCCGACTCATGTCAGCTACAAAAACTACAAACAAACAATATAAATGCCTCTTTCCAGCTGATATTTTACTCTTATACTGCAGTGCTATCCCACTCCTGAATCAAGAGGTCTCTGCTGCTCCTGTTCCCATTCTCTCAAGTGATGCTGCACACACCCTACTGAACTTTCATAAACCAATGTAAAAACTGTATGTCCCCCTCTGTCCCACAATATATTTAACTACCACTTGTATCATTTCCCACGAAATAGGCAGATTCATATGCTTTTTCATGTAGGTATAAACCATGAATTCTGAAAAGCCTTTCTATCCAACATATCTGCCTTTTCCATAGTTCTACTGGCAATCATATCCACAGTATCAAATCCCCAGTCACTCTGCTGCAGCTTGGCAAATTCTAAATCGCTTTCTAAAAGCTGATTCTACCTCTTATGACCCTCAGCCTTTAGGATGAATTCAGAGACTATCATAATGATATTCATTATGATAATAATAATAGAAGATAATATAAGTTTTATATATATATATATGTAAAATATAGTAAGATAATATACAAAACCTTGAAGTTAGCTGAGGAAAGACTCCTTGCCCAGAAATACCTTCTGTGGGATCTGCAGTGCAGAGAATTGCTCTCTCTGCAGCTGCCACTGACATTCCTCTATCACAATATATAAGCCTTTTAATTTCTGTTCTTACAAGATTGCTTGTGGCAGAAATTCAAACCTGTGCCATTTCCAACACATTTGTACAGTGCCTGTATTAGGTTAGAGTCTGAGATGCAAGATAAAAACTTGATTTACTTCGGTAACTTTCAGCTAGAAATCATGCCTGCTAACACTGAAGCAAGTTTCTATTACAGTTGTTATGGAATAACAATTAGCCTGCAATGAGTTATCAGTGAGGAAACAGCACAATTAAATCTCATACACACACAAAAAGTACACATCTAGAGCCTGGTTCCTTAAGCAACATCCTTATTTTACTAGGAGAGAATTGAACTAAGGGGAAATATTTGCCAAAAAGTACTTAACTGAAATAAAATTATTTTTTAAAAACATCATCTCATACAAGTAGGACTTTGCCAACGAAACAGAAAAACTGAGAAAAATTAAATTCGTATGTTCTAAAAGTTCTCTCCATGCTAAACAGTAAGATCTAGAGCCTGAGATTAAGATTGTAGCAAAAATACTGTATTAATGGAAACTTTTGAGATCTGAATTATAAAAACTAATCAAGAATATAGGGAATATCTGTTACACTAATAAAATCTCTTCTGCTCATCCCTTATTTTGGTTTCTGGCCTCTGATGGGTATGTTGCCAGCAAAGCAAATATAAAATTCAGTTTTCAAAGGCTATCTTTCACTACTAAGAGTTTTCAATTTTATCTCTAGAGAATAAAAAAAAAAAAATCACTGATAGGAGAGCAGGAGTGATAAATACATCCACATGTAGTAACTGTTTTCTTCAGTCATCAACTTACTTTTAATAAGCACTTCATGAAAAAACTTCATTTACAGAAAATTGGAGAACTGGTTTCAGAGATAGGCTCCAATGTACCTGTGACCCATCAAAAAGGACCTTCAAAATAAGGCTCATTTTTGGTGCATTTTCATTATTTTGGCAATGGATGAAGTGTCTCATCCACCTTTTCAGTCCTGCTATGGACATTAATCTACAAAACTGCAACACACTGCAGGCTTAAAAAGTGTGAAGATTTAATTTTCTTTTGTGTGTCAAATAACACAAGCTTCAGAGTTCTGTATGTTTTTTTGTGGGCTTCTCACAGGAAATCTCTCCCCACAAGTTACCACAGTTGCTACCCCACACTCCACAATGACTGAAGCTGGAAGCTTGTTTAGCAAGAAAGAAACATTCTCTTCAGAGATAACAAAGAGTTAATTTCCCAGCTGGAGAAGTTTCAGTCTGACTGTCCTTGCTTCACAGTAGGATAGTGACAGATTCCAGGAAAATGCAGCCAAGTAAGGAAACCCTTTGGTCAAGCAAATACATTAGGCAAACCTCAATGTCAGAAGCACAAAGATTGGAACAGCAGAAGCCTGCACTGCAAAGTTAAAGCCTAGTTACTTTCACAGAAATATTTTTCTCACTTAAAAACCATCTCAACAATCTTGGCAGGTAAAAAAAAGTTGGTTGCTCAATAGCTTAAAATTTAGAATTAAGTCCAGCATCAACATCATTCAAAAATACATCTGTACTTCAGGCTACAAAGCACTAATATGTTAAGTGACAACATTCATATTGAAACTTAAGATAAAAGGAAACCTTGCAAACATAAAATCTTACAACTAAAAATCAGATACTTGTCTGTTTTCACACAGATTAATCAAGGAAAATATCCAGCTCAGGTGTTATTCTCTGTATTACTATTGTCATCAAGATGTGACAGTCAAGATTAATGAAGTCAGGAGAGTAAATAAAAACTCTTTTGAGAACATCCTTTCTGTTCTACTGGTCAGAAAGATCACTGGTTTTATCGCCATTTCCTCATACACACTAAATGTTTCTACTGGAATAAAAAAAACACACCACAAGTTGACAGAACAATGCATTCCTTAAGCAATGGATACAAATTTTATACAAGCATGTTTTAATTGTCTGAATTTCAGTCCCATTTTCATATTAAACAGAAAATACAACTTAAGCCTATTCACTCAGAAAAAAAAATAAATATTTCCGCAGAGATAAAAATATGAAGGGGCAAGGAAAAAAATTAGAACCATGAGAAACACAAGGGCTACATTTTTACAGGAACATAGCCATTTAGAAAATGCCTTTTTTAAATGGTTGCCTTTCAAGCTGTGCCAACACTACAATGAACATAAAAGATCTGCCTCCCTAGCAAATTTAGAAGAATAAGCAATTACTATATTAGAGAAAATAGGCTCAGAAATTTCCACCAATTGGTAGTTGGCAGCAAAGCAACTCTTTATGTGCCAAACCCCAAAAAGCCCTTCAGCACCAACCTCTACATATGCCAGCAGTGAACAAACAAATTTAAAAAAAACACTACTTAAACACGGGTCAGCCCTTCACTTTGGGGAAAGAGAAATAAACAAGAAATAAAACAAAACAAGTACTCTACATCCTCCTAGGTAAGTAATAGAAGGCTTTTACTTTTGTCAGGGTGTTTGAAGTGTTAGGCCTTCTCTTCGGGGCACTCCATCTCACAAGCTCTTCAAACACAGTTACGCTGTGGTCATGCAACAAAGGCTCCTTCCCAAAGTCCCTGGAAAAGCACAAGGCCTGTCTTCCCAATGGAAGGGAGGTCTCCACATTTACACACTGCTGCTGCTGGAACAGTTTACACAGAGAGGCAGCTGCATGGAGCAGCTCCCTGCAGACCATTCACAGGGATTTCTCAGTCCTGCCTGAGAACACTCCTACAGCTGAAGTCCAAGTTTGAAGACTGCCTTTACCACAGAAGGGGAGAAGGAGGTACTTCAGCAAATAAAAATTGTGTTTTGGAGCATTACCAATGTTTGTCATTCTCACCATGGGCTGAAGACAGTCATAAGCCACTGTGGGTGATGGCAACATGCAAGAAATTTATGTGATATTTAAATTTAACTACTGTTATTGACCCCTGATACACTACTGCATCTTCCATACCAATGCAGATCAGTGGGTATCTGCTGTTCCAACAATGCAAGAGGTGAATTGAACCGAAAATCCTAGCTTTTGCAGTTTCCCTTACTGACTCTCTACTTGGTTGAGAAGATTAAAATCATCTGAGACAGTGACAGAACACTTCATGGGCAGAAGAGACTAATTACTGCATAATAAATATCCTCAAAGCTATTTTTTTATGAATTAAATTAAACATGACAAACCCTTTTCAGATGTTCCTAGGAAGTATTCTCTGTTAAGAAGTAGCATTAACAAATCTCATTTAAAATCAAACCCATTAGAAGAACTACAGAGCCCATCATTGTGCTGCCACCAAACACTGAAAATCAAAAGTTTCAGTGATGCCTTTGCCTTGCTGTGTTTTCATCAAAACACAGAAGTTGTTCTTCTCACATATTTCCCTACAAGAAGTGTATCCAAGCACACAGAACATAACCAGAGACAGTTTATCATATTGAGGCAATCTAAGTGCACTTCCTCTGTGATATATTTGCTAAAATCTTGCACCACAAAAAAGTGAATTTTAAGCATTAGACATTATAAAAATCGTTAAAATAAAAACACCCACATCTCTGAATACAACTGACTTTTAAAATTACTTCATGCAGATGTATAGGTATGCATGTGCATATAAATACCTGTTGAATGAGCAAGGATATTAATGTTTAGTCAACAGTACAAGAGTCCAGGTACCTGATACCTATGTGATCTACTCTGCAGCCTGTGTTGCTCTATTAGTAAAGTCACAAGGCTGTCAGAGAACCACAGCAGTGTCAAATAAAAGTATCAGGTATCAAAGTCCTGTTCTATGAAGGGCTTTACTGTGACTGATCAACAGCAAGTGCATTCCTGACACTTCAAACTGGGGCAGCAGAACATCCTGCGGGCCACTCCTTTGTATCTCTGCGCAAGAACACACACTCACCACATCATTAACCCTGACTATGTTTTCACAGAAGTAAAACTAAAAGCAAAAAAAAAGCAAGTTGCAAAGATGTGACCACCCTCCCAGAACGATTAATTTCAGATACGATTATTGACCTCAAGCTCATGTCAGTTACTCTGGAAATAGCAATCTGTGCAAGTGCAATGGAAGAAGACACCAATATTTTTCTTATACCACTCAGTCACTATGTGGTAGTCTGAAAGCAGGACCCTGCTTCTGAAAACACAGAGTTTTTAAACTTATTAATATTTTAATAAAGCTTTTAAAAGTTTATTTTTTTTAAAACTGTCATTATTCAGAAGCAGATTAAAGCATACACAGTAATGAGAATTGAACTTATGAAAACTGAACAACTTAGATTATTAGATGGCCACAGCAGTTTATTCTCCTACCTGTTTCCCATCCAGTGTACAAAGTCTCTTGACTACACCCGAGTCTAACTTAATGGCTTCGGTGATGTCATTCAAGACCTGATCGAAGGAGTGAGCAGTCTTCTTGTTCAGCAGAATTCTCACAGCTTTCCGTGGCTTTACCCCACTCCTAATAACAGTCACCAATTTAGGTTTAATGAAATCTTTACTCTCCTTCACTTCACTCCTCGTGGATGTCAAAGACGTCAAGGACCGACTGGAGCCAGTCCTTATGTTCACACACCAGTTGGGGTTGACATTCTTGGTGTAATCAACTTTGCGGTATGGTTCATTGGATGCACACACATAGCTTTCACCTGAAAAGAACAGGACATGTTCACAGTTTAAGGGGGTTAGCAGATACTTTGTCAATTTAAAAAAATGAATAAAACAAAAAAGACAAATATTTCGGATTTTCCCGTATTTCAACAGGGAGGACTTACCAGAGCTTTCTACCCAAACAACATTCTCATAGAGTGCTTTCAACATGTTTCAAAAGACCTCTTGTATAAAAAATAGTAGGGAGTAATAAGGAGGTTCAAGATATTTCACATCTTTTGAATTGAGTCATTTTGCAAGTGCTTAAAATTACTTGAGCTCAACACATGATACCAAGAGCATTCTCCTTCAGCAAATATCCAGGTCCTCCCCTATATATCCCTCAAACACATACTTCAAGATAGGCACATTCCTGTCTGTGTTTATTTTACAACAGCAAGTTTTAACAGAATAAATTTAAGCAACTCAAGACCTTTACCCTGAAAGGCACAATAGCCTTTCTACCAAGGACACACATTTGAAATGCATCCACTTTGATATTTTTTAGACCAATGAACACCTGTTGAGCCCACAAATTAGTCTTTGAGAATATGGGAACATAATAGGACATCTACACTTCCCCATTTTTAATTTCTTTCTGAATTCAAAGCTGATTTTCAGGGGTTTTTTGGTGGTTTTTCTTGGCCTTTTTTTTTTGGGTTGGTTTTTTGCTTTTTTTTAAAGATAAAAAAGAGAAGGACTGCTTGCAGCTTATGACAACTCTTTTGACATCAGACAGCAATATGCAAGATGTAAACTATGCCAAAGGACATCTTTAACTCTGAGTTATTTGTGTAACCCACATCCTTGGGGTGTCAAAAAAAAAGGCATTCCAAGACATTCTTGAAAGGGCAGAGTATTGCCAGAAGGATGAAAAGCAAGCATTCCAAACTGAGAGAATACACCAGGCAGAAGAAACACCTGCATCTTAAGAAACTTAACCTGTTCTAAGATTAAAGCAACTCAATTGAAGCCACTGGTGGATCAAACCAAACTCACTTCTCACATGCACAGCAAGATGAAGAAAGAGTAATGCATCTAGGGGACAGAACTGTATGAGTTACAAAATGTATGCCTACATTTAGATACATACTAGAAAACCTTGTTAAACAACACTTTTACTTTCTGAACTCTAGTTTGTAGAGCTGATTTATCTTAGAAGTTGCAGAGCTTATTCGAAAAGCAAGATACTTTACTTTCAAAGCCCTAAAGAATTACTGTGAGCTGAAAGCATTTCTTGTTTCTTTTCCAATACCAATTACACTACTTTGTAATTTATCTTGTATTTAGACCTTCTTGAATGTCTACTTGCTGTATTTGAAAGACCACAGATTACAATTAAGCCAAGTTAACAATGATTTTGTTTGTGAAATTCTGGCAGCCAGTTCTGCCTCCACAAACATCACTGGGACTGTATTCCACTCAGGCACTAGGAAACTTGGGTGAGGTTCTGTCTATGCCACTCCCTTGCCTGTACTCTTCCTCTTCACCCACCCCCATCATTCCTCCTCCCATTCACAGATAAGTGGTGGAAAAAACAAACTGATACAGACAAAACTAGACTTCCTCTCTCACCCAGAAAATTAGCTAAGAAAAAGGAGATTTTTTTCAGCACACAAACTCCTTGACAAAGACCTGCATGCTGCACACTAGCACCAATTTACAGGGAGGAGAAAAAGAACCCCAGAGTCCACACAGCTTTGGAAGGACTGTGGTGTCTAGAAGCTTATGCTGCCCCAGAATTACACACTAAAGAAATCTGATTTTATCAAACCTGAACAAGATATTGGATGACTTCAGAAAGTCCCTTTCAAACTAAGGGATCCTATGATTTTAAAGATGCTCATAGTTCTCTTTCAACTGGTGTTTTCGTCATCTATCCTGTTATCGCAAAACAGCGTGAGATATTCAAGTTTTGCAGCAGCAGCTCAGCTACAATAGAAAGCAAAGGCTTCCCCTGTACATCCTCTAACACTAGACTCAAAGGACTATGCTTGTTTTCTGAACAATTGCCGGTAAGTCTGTCCCCAAACTCAGTGCTGCCAAATGAGAGGCACCTCAAGAAGCTGTTAGCTGTAACTCATACCAACAGGCTTACTAATTACACCTGCTGATCATTTTGTTATTCTCCCCTCTCCAGCCACCTTCCTGCAGGACACAGAACCCCAGCATACTCCAGACTAAGCACCACAGAGCTGCCTGCTCACTCCACTCAGTGGGACAGAGGAGGCAAAATCAGAAGGGTAAAGTAAAACTCATGGATTGAGATAGAGACAGTTTAATAGTGAAAGCAAAAGCCGCAGGGGCAAGTAAAGCCAAACAAGGAATTTGTTCACCACTTCCCAAGGACAGGCAGGTGGTCAGACACCTCCAGGACAGCTGGGCTCCATCACTGTAATGGTGGCTTGGGAAGCCACACACTCTAACTCTGAACTTTCCCCCTCCTCCTTCTTCCTCCCCCAGATTTATAAGCTGAGCATGATGTCATATGGTCTGGAACATCACTTGGGCCAGTTGGGGTCAGCTGTCCCAGCTGTGTCACCTCCCAGTTTCATCTTCCCCCAGCCCACTCACTGGTAGGATGGTGTGAGAAGCCAAAAAGGTCTTGGCTCTGGGTGAGCCCTGCTCAGCAGCAACAAAAACATCACCCCGTTATCAACACTGTTTTAAAAACAAATACAAAACAAAGCCCAGAGTAGCTACCATGAAGAAAATTAACTCTATTCCAACCAAAACCAGCACAAACTCTTAGGACAGTCTGACAGTCTAAGTTACTCAGAAGGAGAGTCTCAAACTTGAAGTTAATTGCTTTACATAAAGTAAAGGTGAAGGACAAAGGGTCTCTTTGCTCAAGGATTTATCCTACAGGAGTTTCAAAAGGCATGCTAGCTTTGTCTTTTACAGACTCATAATCATAAATAGAGCATCTTCTTTATGCTAGGAATGTGATCTGTTATCTGCCACAGTTGTACTACAGCACCCTATAGGACAGCAGAAATCATACTTTTATAAAATTTTCAGTCAGTATTAATCCAAAAGAATCTATATTTCTTTAAAATAGCAGTGTAAAACTTTATGTCTCCTACTGCTTCCCTTGCTTGATGCATGAATGAAATAAATTCTTAATTATCTCAAAGTGTTGTGATGCACATTTGTTCTTGTTACTTCTTTTCCTTTAAGCAGAGGCCATAGTAACAAAAATCAGGAAGTGTTTTCAAGATAATACAATGTAATAACTTAAAAGAAAGAAATTTAAATTATTTGCTTCAGCTGCATTTAACCAACCCTTAAGTTCAAGCACAAACTACTCTATCTTATAAAAAAATAAATAAAATCTGCCAAAATGAATTGAAAATTTCCTATAGTTGGCAGATACAGGAAAGTCTAATTACTTGAGAAAGTAGTATATTACAGATTGTTTGAGAATGTAGTATTCTACAGATCTTTTAGTAAGTGTTTTACAGTCCATGCCAGCTTTCATATACCAGACATATAAATAAAGTCAAGTAACACAAGTTTCACATGGAAAACAGATTTTACTACTTCACCTGCAAAACAGGCACATATGTCAAGACTAGAGCAAGGGCTGTAGGTAAGAAAACACATTCACTGAGTGTTTTGCTTGTTTCATGACTTAAAGACAAAAGATAATTAGGAGTCCAATTGCTTCTCTCTGGCTGAAGAATGGTTTTCTAGGAATGAGTTAAATATTTGTTTGACGGGGTATACAAGTCACTACTTACCAGATAAAAATACATAAGGAAAAAAATGGCAGGGGTAACTTAAATCACACCTATAAAGTTAAGTCCAGGAAACTTTTCTTCAGAACAGTGTATTTAAAAAGCATGCCTGCAAAAACACCATCCCTTGATAAGTAAGCATTCATAAAGGTGCTCTCTACTGTTTAAATTATTTTAGCCATCCTACAGAGTACAAAATGCACTTATGTATGTTGGTTTGGAAGAAATCTCATGTAATTTGTAGAAGTATTACCTCTTTTTTACATTATTTTTTTGTAGATAATAACATGAATATATATATATACACCATATATATCCCGTATTTGCTCACAGCTTTCATATATGACCTGATTTTAAATCTGCTTGAGATTAATTCATGTATAAGTACACACTTCTGATAATCACCACAATCTCCCAGAAAATGAATATTTGTAAAATATAACACATAATATGTGATTTTTGAGGGGATCTAGAAGGGTTGAACTGATAAATTAATTTCAAATGTTGTTGAAACTAACAGATACCTTTATAGTTAAAAAACACAAACATAAATAAATTTGACTGTCTCAATGAGATTTTTTCATATGAATAACCTAAATGCATATCATCCCAAATACAAAGGAAATATTTTCTGAGACTTTAGTGGCATTTTGATTAGACTGTAGCTTTCTTTTTCTTTTTGCATTTTCACATCTACCAGCCCTAGAAAGTTGACACATCTCCAAAAACAGGCATAAACAATAATTCAAATATTTACACTGCTGACTTCAATATGGTCAATTTTATGGTTTGAAGACCCACTTTTCACTTATAATCTTGAAAGATTTTAAAGCTAATGCATACTAGCTTTAACTAGCACAGAGTCACAGCAGTTACATTGTAAATATGTAAAATACCATGTCTTCATGTATGTAAATGTCTTGTAAATACCATGTCTTCAGCTTACAGCATTGACATTAACATGAATCAGCTCCCCAGGTTTCAGACCAGAGCATGAGTTTAGTCTCTAATATTACACCAAGATTTGCAGGTAAAGAAGCACACTATAGGCTAATGAAGCAGGAAGATCAATTAAGCATTGCTTTCTTCTTTTCATTTAAGTGCAGAAAAAAAAAATGCAACAATTCCACATGTAGGTGACATCTGGGACTCTTGAGCCCAGCCAAACTATTCCACAGCAGAAAGCTCAACCAAGCTGCAGAGCAGTTTTGGCAGAAGTCTGAAACCTCCTTATAAGTTCACTGCATAATTTCAACAGA